CCTAAGCACCTAAATCCTCAGCTCAAAGCCTCAAACTCTTGTCCAAAACTGCAGATTTTCAGCAGCTCAATCAGGGGAGAAACAGGGCAGAAATTTGCTCTCAAACACTGCCCCAATGCTACTGATCCTAGCTCAAATGATGTCCCAAGCTGCAAATTTGGAGCCCCAATTTTAGATTTCAAATGAAACCTAGCTTCTTCGATGAGCTCAGCAATGGCGGGGTTCAAATTGTGCTCAGATTCAATCGTAACTCCGAATTTTTAGGTCAAATCAGCAGATTAAACTCAGATAATGAAGGAATCAGGATTTTCGGAATAAAAATCCTTAGAGAGAACAAGGAATTCGATTTTTTTTGCAGTATACACACAAAACAGTGATAAACAATAGCAGATGAACAGTGATCTTACTATTTTTTTTTTTTTTTTTTTGAATTTTGCGAGTTGTTGATAATCAAAACAAAGACCCAAGGATTGATAGAACAATCCAAAAGCTCCGCTCTGATACCAAGATGATACGAACTATGAACCAAAACACGGATATGACAAAATACACAGAATCAACAATAAGAGCTAGACCTAAAATTGATTGGATGAACAAGAACCAATTAGTCTCTGAAGCCTAATTACCTCTATGAACTCAATCAATTGTAACCCTAAGCTATGAAAACCCTAAGAGATTGGCAACTCTTGAAAACCCGGATAAAGTAATTAAGCAATTAAGCATTCACTACTAATTGCTCACCAACTAAGACTAATTTAGCACTAATGAAAGCATAAACAAAGCAATAAAGGAATTAAAGGCATAAAAATAAATGCATTAATTAAAAGATAAGGAAAGAGTGTGAGACTTGCATGTCTTCAAGTTTTATCATTCATCAAGTCTAATTCAAAAAGGCACTAATGCTTAGCTATTTATACTATTGCTATTTTAGGTACAAGGAATTCCTAAAATAGCCCTAAAGAGTGACTTATAATGCAAATTAGCCACTTTGGGTAGAACCTACGCCAAGTTCATCTTCTTGCCTCAATTCTTGGTCTTCAAACCATTGGAACACATTGTAATGTGTATGAGACTTCTCTAAATTTCCTTCGGATGCTTCAAGCTTCATAATCAACAATCCAAGATCTTGCAACTCTTTGCTTGGCTTCTTGTGAATGGTCTAGATGAAATAGGTGAATGTCGGGGTGTATCAGTCTTCCTTTGTTCTTTACTCTCGCCTCTGTTTATTTACTTCTTCCTTTTCTTCTCTAGGCATCAAATTGTCATATCGCTTTTCTCTCTTCGTTAATATTTTCTACATTAAAAATTATGCCGCTGGATTTTTCTTAGTGACTTGCTACGTTGACAACCAGTGAGCTCTGCGACCTTCTTTCCAATTTACTTTTACTTTAATTTTCTTCTTTTTGACATTTGGTTTTTAGAAATTAATCAAAGAGGGATTGTTTATGTGTCAAAAGAAGATTAATCAACGTGAATATGATACATTAATCTCACTGAATGAGTGCAATAAGAAATAGTCAGTAACTAACATTTTCTTGTTATGAAACAATAAAAGAAGAAGAAGAGTATTGCAGAGAAAAAGAGAGAGAGAGGATTCTTATTGATTTGGGATGAATTACAATGGAATAGAACCCTCTATTTATAGGGAGAGGGTGACTTAGCCACCAAGCAATGAACCCTAGAATCTCTCTAAATATAGACATTCACCATAAATACAATTCTATTTATAACACTCCCCCTTGAATGTCTATTCAACAGATAATGTGCCTCGTTAAAACCTTAACTAAAATAAAATCCAGTGGGAAAAAAATTTTAGAGAAGGAAAAAGAGTACACATATCTAACAATACGCTTTTTGGTTGCCTCGTTAAAAACCTTGCAAGAAAACCCAGTGGGACAAAACCTTGTAAGGGAAAAAGAGTACAACGCGTATTAACTCCCCCTGATGAGAGCATCAATTCATATCCTTAAGCATTTGCATTCCAATCACCATCTTCAAAAGATCGTTGATAGATATTTGATAAACAATATCAGCCATATTAACTTCAACGAATTTGTTTCAACTTGAAATCATCATCCCTGATAGATGTATTGTCTTCATATGATCTTGTTGGAATCATCATTTCAATATCTTCACATAGGGGTGAAAACTCTTGCTATCGTATTATCATGCTCATAGTTATAGCAAGATACATATGTGCACAAATTGCATTTAGGATATAGTACTTCATGATCATGAATTCTATATGCTTTAAGCAATTTAAATCCTTCAAGGATTTTTAAGTCATATAAGCCATATAATAGATTTTAGATGCATATCAAGTTTTCATGTCTTGCTAGACATATAAGATATCGAAAACTGATTGCACACACCATTGACTTTATACTTTCAAGTGTTTGAACTACATGTTCAAAACTACATGTCTTTCATATGAAACCAAATCTATTCGAATTGTTTCTTCAAACTTAAGATCCTCATATATATTTAGCGCTATTATAGATGTCATCGACAAACATTTTATATCGGTTCCAGCTTTATTTTCATAAAGACATGACATAGAGATCTCTTCATTCATATTTTCAGGTACCTGAATCTCTCCTGAGATTTTATGAAGTGTTATGTCATGTGATCTTCCAGATCACTTGCCTCCTTTATTATGATCATTTTGATCATTTGATTATCTTCTTTATCAAGAAGTTTATTTGAAACCGATTTGTCTATACGCTTTAAGCGTACCATAGACTTTGTCCTTCTAGGACTTAATAGGAGCATTTGCAATGAGAATATAGTTACTTTCTTTGGGTCAGCAAATGCGTCTGACATGCTTTGCAATATATTGCAAATGAATTATCCTTTTATGAACTTCAAGTTCATATTATCTTATTCGAGAATTTAGATGTACAAATGATAATTCATTCCACGTAACTTTTTCTCAACTGTTTATCATGTCTCCCTCTCATGTTAGAAAATCTAACTTTCTTCCTCAATTTTGGAACCCATCTTTGTGTATTATGGTGTTAATCAAAATATACACCACACATCAATAATAATAAGATGGAATTATTTGGTTCCTGGCCCTGAACCACTTGTGAAGGGAGAAAATAATATACTTTCGTATATAACGTATATCAAACTGATATAGATAACTTTGTTCTCATAAGCAATTGTTTAGCTATTAAGTAGAGGCACTTATTAAATTATTTTGCTAAACCAACTGTGATGTAAACCAACTTATCAAGATGAACTTCTTGAATAGAAAATCTGGAAATTATGCTCGAAATTAAATTACTGAGCAAGTTACCTCGCAAACACCATGTTGCGGGTTAATAATAATCGCACATGTAACCATCTCATAGATGCATCTTATGTGGTATACATGGCAAGTGAATGGGCCCATATTCACCTTTTGATATTTCCAGCATTCATGGGATTCATCCCAATTTTTTAGTTGGTATATTAATTAATGAGAACAAGCAACATATGAGAATTCATAAAGAACTTTCTAGTTCTTTAATATTTACCCATGTAAATTCTCTTTTATTTTGCACATCATACTTAAATTGATATGGCTAAAATAATTATGCCAACTGAATAAATTATCAACATTGATAAACTTCAAGTTTACACCATGACGTGTGCAATTATCAATAAACTCCAAGTTTATTATGATATGAGTTTTTATATCAATAAACATCCACTTTACTGTGGTATTCTTTTATTTGTGTAGTACAAACTGGAGAATAAAGCGGGTGCCTTTTCACATGCATATTATCCCGCTACAAGTTGTAGTAATAGAAGATATTAAATCTTTCATTTATTTATAGTCTCAATATAATCAACCGCTTTCGCGTATACTTTGGAAACTAAATAAGTTTCTTTGAGACTTACTACAACACAATACCTTATTGATAATCAATTTTATTCCTCCAAAATAAATAATTGGCTCTTCCAGAGCTCTCAATTAATTTTGCACTACCACATATTCATCAACATCATATGGTGAATATCTCTTTTAAAGAGAAAGTTATAGTCATGGTCAAAATTATATGTAAGATCTGTTTCTTGCATTACTGTTATTCTTTAATAATCACATTACCAGAATATTTTGGCGTACAATAGGTACGTGACCAATGACCATTCATGCTATTATAATGACATTGTTTTCTCATATCATCTCAAACCTCCTTTTAGAGGTGAGTGTGGTATATTCACTACCACTAGCACATTCATATTCTTCCAAGAATGAATATGTATTCATAAATCAGATGTTTTCACATTCACATCATGAATGGACCATAATCATCTATATGTGCTTTATAAAATATCATGTCAAAGTGACAAATATTACTTTCACAGAGTGAAGGATTATTTTGAGAATCCTTATTATTCTCATTATCACAATGATGACGATTATAATTTCGTCTAATAACACGTCCACATCCATTGATACCTTCACGGTAATAATTTTGTCTTCTTTCAAACTTATCACCTTCTCTTAAGGGAATGAGAATGGAGCAAATTCAATGGGACGGGTTTTCACTTCTTGTGCTCGCGATCATACATGACTTTGATCATGGCAAGACATAGAAATTTACTTCAAGTGGTTATAATTTCTTACAAACTCCATTAGAGTTATAATCAAACTTTGTTGTCTTTGCTTGTATATAAAATCAAATTATAGAATTTCAAGAATTTAAAAGAGAAAAATAAAGTAAAATACTTACCCTAAATCTAGAATTTAATTATGAAGGAAGTTCATGGAATAATTGACCATCATTATGCTCAATCCCAAAGCTTCTACTCAATTGGTTAGAGTCTCGTGCTGATAACGTGTTATGAAACAATAAAAGAAGAAGAAGAGTATTGCAGAGAAAAAGAGAGAGAGGATTCTTATTGATTTGGGATGAATTACAATGGAATAGAACCCTCTATTTATAGGGAGAGGGTGACTTAGCCACCAAGCAATGAACCCTAGAATCTCTCTAAATATAGACATTCACCAAAAATACAATTCTATTTATAACATTTCTATTGTTATAAAAAGTTTGATTAATAATAAATAACCGCATGTTACTTGTTAGCTTGATAAGCAAGTCACCCGGTCCATATAAATTTGCTAGGATGCTGTTAGAGTTGATGCACACGCGGAAACACATTAAAGAAAAGGAACATTACTTTCAGACCGAGCAATAAATGCGGCTTCAATTGGCTATTTGAGCTTGAAATCCTATACTCTGAACATTGCCGAATTGTAGCTTTATTTCTATGCCAAGAGCTGTCCAAGCTTTATTATATTCCAGGATTTGTCCAAAAGCACAGTAGGTCATTCAAGACTATGTCCACAATGCATTCAATCTCTTGCTGCAGCCATATTGAGAATGCAACTCCATGATTGCTTTATCATGGTAAGTATTATATTTTTCCCTGTTTCATATGAAGCTATCATTTTAGAGTAGCTTTTTTAAATGAATGTGCTTTGTTCTAATTTGGTTCTTTTTCTCTTTTGGTCTCCTAAGACTCTTAGTAAAGTGGATCCTCAATGTTCTCTTTTTTGAGGTAGCAAATTAGGTGATATTGATGAATATTGAGGATGGATTACCATGATTTTGAATGTCAATATATGATTCTAATAAAGGAATCTATACATTCCCTGATAATTGTAATTAATACATTAATTTGTTGATATAAATGAAGCATTAGAAGGAATTAAAGAACAATAATAAAGATGGTATTTAGTTTTATCCAAATGAAAAAAATAGTATTCCAACAAAATCAGAGTATATTTTTCTTACTTTTATAAGTTTGGGCAAGTTTGTAGATGAGAATTGCACTAGGAATTGATGGGGTTGCATCGCTGTAAAAATTAATTAACTTAGAAGTGTCGTAGTTCTTTCTTTATTTATAAAGTGTGCAAGTAATCTACGTTTATTATCACCCTCAACACAGTTACAACCTTTAATTTGTTCCATTTCAAAGCTTCCCGTCTACTGAGGAATGAAAAAAGAGTGTCTGAAGTGCTTACTTAAGCAAGCATGTCCATGTCTGAAGTAGCTTAAATAAGTTGCTTATTTACGCAACATGTCCTTACATTCTTGAAAGAAACACTCAAAGTGATTGACGAAATTCATAAAGTAACTATTGATTGGCATGTTCTATATTTAAGTTCTTACTTGCAGCTATTGATGGATTACCCCCAAATTATCTGTACGAAGATCCTATCATTTAATTTAATCCTTCTAAATTTTAAATTTCATAACGACTACTTATCGTACCAAGATACCAAGTTAATTGAAGTCTCACGAAGGGGACAAGATTTTGGGATGCGATAACAGTTAGTGTGTACTCTACTCATTTTTGTTGGTTCTTTGATATGTTATGGATCTCGAAATACTATTTCTGCATCTCCTTGACCAAGCCTGAGTACATTAGATTGGATGTATTTCCATCTGAAGCTTAATTTTTATTCTTGAGATTGACGAATATTTTACGATTGTATGTGCGCTTGTCGCAGGACTCAGGACATATGGTGATATTTGACAATTATGGATTGAATTGACTTCTCTTTCTTTCTTTATTTAGAACCAGAACATAATGTGGGCTGAGTAATTTTCTGATTTGATTTATTGTTGACCTTGAATTTGATTTGGATTTTTGATATGTTACGAGTTGTTTAACCATTTACATTTATGTATTCGTGAAGATTATTTATCAAATGTTTGCTTTGTTTAAAAAGTTTTGGAGCACATTTTTCTTTACAGACATATCACCAGGATCAACAATACGATGAAGACGTAATCTGGTTACTCCATATTCTGACATACACTGTAGTGTTTGGTAGATATGTAGATACTGAACATTATTTTGTCCTGTAATGTCAGCATATTGAATAGATTTGTACATAATGTACGTTCTCCATCAAGTTGTTATGCACGGGCATCCACTTCTAGTAGTAATACATAAGAAGAAAATAAAGAGCATACATTTAAAAAAAAGGTATATTATTCATTCCAAGACAAGATTACTTGTGGTTTGAGGTAGTTAAGTCTCTAGAACCTCCTTATATCCCTGAAAGGTAGCTAACTACCTTACATGAAATGCGATAAATCCCTTGATATGAAGATATTCACCTCTACATGTACTAAGGTTAAGGCTGAAGATTTGTAAGGCCATCGTAGTGGATCAAAAGTGAAGCCTTTTTCCTTCTGTTGGAGATTCTCTGGTATATTTCGTCTATCAACTCTTAGTAGTCCCTTCACTTGAATCGGTAAATTTGTAAAACTAGTTTAAGTTTTGTTATTCACTGAATCGAAACTCAAAGCTGCTAACTTGTCTATTACTTGGTTTGTCTCCTTGTAGCAATGTTTCAAAAGATGCTACTTTGGTTCAACATACAAGTCTTCCGCATTTCATTGCTGATTTTCCGTTGGATCTGATTATAGCCATTACTGTAGTCTCCTAGTAGTTTGGAGTCATTCTCTGCTTTTATGTGTTCAAATTCATTGTCGAGATACCGGGTAGGTTTTTACCTGTAAAACGATACAATTGAATTTATAGCGTGGTTTATAGTATACAAGCAAACTTATTTTATCGAAAATGACAAATAAGAACGGAAATAATATTAACGAATAAAATTTCATATTTGGTGCTTTCAGAAACACAAATAGCAACAAGAACTAAATGGATAACAAGGCAACAAAATAATCAGAACACCGATAAGGTATGAATGAAATCAATTAAGGGACAGATAATAATTCAAGTAATCAAATTGTTCCCAACGCATGACTTACAATAAGAATTTTCTCCGAGGCACACACCTCAAACCATAAGCCACACTATCCCGAATCTTACATACATGGCACCTCGTGCCCACATTATCAATCACATTCGCCGGAAAAGTCAACGTGCTACCATGTACATTGTATCCGTGTCGATTGCCAAATAAAAACATTCGGATAATTTATTTAAAAAAAACAAGGAAAAATAATAATTTCGAATAAAATGAGGCTACAAATTTAATGGGTTTATTTTAAAAGTCAAATAAAGTAAAATAAAGTACAATTTATATAAAGTAGAGTATCAAATGGGAAAAATGAGTTTAGTTTAGAATCAATTAAGGTAAAGTAAATTAAAATAACATTTTTAAATAAAGTAAAACATCGGATAAATTAACAAATTAAATGTAGAATCATTTAAAGTAAAGCATGATAACAATTCAAATATAGTAAATCACCAAGTGAGATGACGAGTTTTATTTTGAGAGTCACATATAGTAAAGCATGTTATCAATCAACCAAATTCACCAAGTAACAACGGAAGCACATATTAGCATATTAAAGCAACATATCAAATCACGTAGAATGCAAGACTCACCCAAAAAATCACAATCGTTCCAACACAAGAGTAACAAGAAATAACCAAGTACAATCAAAACTACGAATGGAATAAGGTGAAAAACAAAATAATAACTGTTCCAATCAACAAATGTTTCCAACATAGAATGTACAACAAGAATCACATCGAGGTACCACACCTCATTTTCACATTTCCAAGTCATAATCACAATTTTCCTTATATCATCGTGTGAGCCTTGCATTTATTTTAAAATTTTTTTTTGGAAATAGCTACACGCGTTTTAGCCCCTTATCTCATCGCGTGGCTTCAAGTATTCCTTACTAGTAACACGCGTATAAATCCTACCTTATACCACCGCATGCGTATCAATATCACAACACAATGCCCATTTGCCAAAACATTACCAAAATCAACAATACCAATGTTACCACAACACATAGCCCATTGCTCAACCACAATATGTACAGAAATCTCAATAACAACAAAATGAACGAGGAATAACTCAACAAGAAAAGGTATTACAATAACTAACAATTTCAACCACAAACGTGTCAATAGCTCTCAACAACTACAACTTCCATAACTCAACAATGAAGGTATTTCTATAAAATTGCAACTTCAAATTCAAATGCATAACATAAGCTCAACAATAAGAGAGGTAGCATGAAATAGCAACTACAACTAAATGCATGAGTATGACTCAACAATGGAAAGAATAGCAAAGGCCAGGGCATTCCCCCTTTAGGCCTCTTTCTCACACACTTACGATCGGAATCCTTTGAATCTCATAACTGTTACGATCGCCTATCATGCAGCATATACGACTCTGATCTTGTAAGTGCGCCTATGCGACTCTTCTCTCCTTTTTCCTCTTGCTAAGCCCATCTCTCAGCCTCACTTTGTAAACATATGCTTGACAAGATGTCCCTCTAAGCATCTATAGGTATACTTACGTTCTTCGCTCGGTACTTTGTCAAACTTACGAATATTGGTATATCTTATTTCATAGGCCCGATTAGTATCCGCATGACTTTACTACATCTAAGTAGGTCATAATATACCATAACTCTTACCTCGATTTATCGTTACTGAAGTCTGTTTCCAAACTCCAGGTTACGTTTGTTGCTTATCCCATATGTATAAATCCAAGTCCTTTAATGACGGCCTAATCTCATCTCATACGTTATAACTTTTATTCATCCATTCCTGACTCACCTTAATATTGATCTATAATCTACCACCGATAACTTGACCTTCTATGTAATATTGTCGCTAGGGCTCACGTCTCATCGGGGAACATCTGAAATGATTAGACTGATCCACTTGGGGCGCTACCATGGTTTTATAACCGTATTTCATAGCATCCCAAAGTGATTCACTGATAACAACACGATAGGGGATTCAAGAATTACTAAGAAAAACGAGAAATGTGCGGAAGCTAAATCAAGAAAGAGTTTCTTGAATTCAAGAATTCTATTCTTAAAGTTGAATCCTAACAACAATTAGCTAACAAAGAACTAATCGCCTTTGGTAGAGAATTAAACCCAAGAGACAGATTGAGAAACCCGACCCTTTAGAATAACAAGAACAACAATAAGTAGACTTATCACCTTTCTTGAATACCTAGAAGTGATCTAAGATTTCGAAAGAATTTAGTCTTACCACCTTAAGTTGAGACTTGAAGGTTGAAGAATAAATCCAAGAGTAGCCACACACAAGAGTGCAAGAAAAATCTCACAATTTTTATTGATAATAGTCTAAGTCTAAAAGCAAAGAAGATACCCTTTATATAGAAATTCTACCTAAAAAAACAAGGAAATAAAGTCTTAAACTACTTTGGACAACATGTCCAACTACCATAGGAGAAGGTGAAACTCTAGGAAACAAAAACCAATTCAATCTTGGAAAGTAACTCCAATAATATTAGGAAAAGAAAAACAAAACCTTAATTACCTAGGAAATCATCAAATATGTCCTAACAGGCTATGAAACAAGATAAGGAACTTTGACTCCTCCTATGTCTTGGTCGCCCCTCCTTTAGCTCCTTTGTGAGTTGATTTAGGCACCTAAATTAGGCCCTCCTTGGCTGGTGCTTGGACCCCAATCAACCTCCTCTTGGACTTGGACTTGGACCATGAAATGAGTGTAGCACTTAGCTAAATCCCCTCCATAATTTTTTTGAGCTCTTCTTCCACCATTAGCACCTTCTTGATCTCCCATTGAAGCCCAACAACCTTGTCCATGAAGCTATCATTCCCCTCCTCTTGAAAAGAATTCGTCCTCAAATTTGAACCTACATCAAACAAGGATAAGTCAACAACATTAAAAGTAGCACTTACTTGAAACTCACCTGGAAGGTCCAATTTGTAAGCATTATCTCCAATTCTTTCAAGTACTTTAAATGGTCCATCTCCTCTAGGGTGCAATTTTGTCTTCCTTTTTGAAGGAAATCTCTCCTTCCTCACATGAACCCAAACCAAATAACCATATTTCTTCGTATCATTCCTCCTCTCAATTGCAAGTCTCGATTGTAAGCAAATTCTACCATAGGCAAGTGATCCTCCCAAGAAGTTAATTTTCCTTTTAGAACAGCCCTTAACATATTTCCTAAGGTTTTATTTACTACCTCAGTTTGCCCATCAGTTTGTGGATGACGCGAAGTAGAAAACAACAATTTTGTTCCCAATTTTCCCCAAAGCGCACGCCAAAAGTGGCTTAGAAACTTAGCATCCCTATCACTAACAAAATTTAACAACTTCTCTAACAAATAAATCAGCAACATGAGAAGCATCATTAGTGTTTAAACAAGGAATAAAACGAGCCATTTTTGAGAACCTATCTACCACAACAAAGATGCTATCCTTACCATACCTTGTTCTAGGCAATCCTAACACAAAGTCCATAAAAATATCAATCCAAGGTGAAATAGGCACCGGTAATGGCGTGTATAAACCAAGTGGCAACACATTAGATTTAGCTTGTTTGCATTCAAGGCATTGAGCACAAAATCTTTCCACATCTTTTCTCATATTGGGCCAAAAGAAATTTTCAGCAAGGATGCCAAGTATTATAGGCACACCAAAGTGTCCCATAAGCCCCCAACAATGTGCTTCCCACACAAAAACTTCTCGCAAAGAACAATTAGGGACACAAAGCTTATTCTCTTGAAAAAGAAACCCATTTTTCAGATTATACTTCTCAAAAGGCCCATTTAAACATGCCGAAAATGCGACATCAAAATCAGAATCATCAACGTATAAATCCATAATATGATCAAATACCATCAATTT